GAAACTTCATCCAACTCATGAAGTTTTAGTTATTTGTCCTCCTGGACTTGGACTTGTCTTTGTCATGTTTGTCTCAGCYGATGGAGGGGGTGTGTCCTGCAGGACGCTGTGTCTCAGAGGACCACGCTGACCCTCTGAGTGGGGACTTGGGACAGTCTCTGCAGGCTCGGTCCAATGCCTTCAGCCAAATGGACGGCTGCCTGTCTGTCCCGCTTCCTTCTTCATGGGCCTGTTGCCCAGCGACACCTTTGGGCCCAATTACCAAGTTGTTTCCATCACTTGGACCGTGAGCCGGTTCCCCTCGGTACCGTCGTTAATGAGGTTCGGGCTTGTGACCGCTCGTCTCTCAATCTGTCTGCTGACCTTGGCCTTCTGTCTTTCTGGCACTCTCACGGAGACAGGAAGTCCCCGTCCTGGCAGCCGAGCGGCCGCCGGGAGAGACGCCACGTTTTACCCAGCGGTGTTGTCAGTCCGAGCCGAGCCTGCAGGCGCCAACACAAACCTGTTCTTTCCAACAGGAGCGTGCACGTGACGTGCTGCAGACAGTAATTGAATCAAAGTGTGAAGTTYTGTCTGGAAGGCGTCCACCGGTAACAGCACATGTTTCTGACAGATGGACAGAAGACACGTCGTCTTCATGTGGGACAAACAAGTCTTCATGTTGGGACCAGCAGGACACACTTTACTACAGACACTTATTAATTCAACTTCTTTTACAAACAGAAACATGTCGACCTGCCAGAGTTCTGTCAGGTTTTACTCAAACTGATGGAACCGTTTCACAGTTCAACCATTCAAAGTCTGAAGGTTCCTGTGGGCTGCTGTTCGTAACGTTACTGTCAAATATTACCACCAATATCTGCGTTTTATTTAGACTTTTATTAGAAAAATACTGATTTATTTTTCAAAGGCAGTTTTTCACCTCATGATTCATACATTTATAAATGTCATAGTTTATAAACTAAATATTTAACTTACTAATTAAATATTTAGTTAACAAGCTAAATATTTAACTTGAAACTTAAATATTTAACTTAAATATTTAGCTAGCTACCTAAATATTTAAGTTAAATATTTAAGTGGCTAGCTAAATATTTAGCTTGTTAACCAACTATTTAATTTGTAAGTTAAATGTTTAGTTTATAAACTATGACATTTATAAATGTATGAATCATATGGTGAAAAACTGCCTTTGAAAAATAAATCAGTTTTTTTCTTATAAAAGCCTAATGAAACACAAACATCGGTGGTAATTTTTGACTGTAACGTTACGAACAGCAGCCCGCAGGTTCCCACCTGAATCTCAGGTGTGTTTTTAACATTTAAAATGTGAGTTTTTCTCAGGTGACAGAGTAACTTAATGACTGCAGATTCTTCTGAGTTACAGGAAGTGTTTTAAAGGTTTTTAATGCTTGAAGTTTGGATTAAATCTGTAAAACAGAAAAGTTTCATAGTTTTACTTTATGAGCTGCTTCAGATTAGGTTATTTCATCTTAATCTAGACTCTTAAACGTCTGAGTTGAGCTGCCCTCACCTGTTCAGGTAAGGATCTCCTGTCTGCTGCCTCCAGGTGGGAAGGCCTTCATGTTTCATGTGAAGGACCTGAAGGAGGGCGTGGTCATTTATCACCACTCCGATAGCGACTCCACCCGTGACCACATCGTCTTCCGCATCAGCGACGGCCGCCACAGCATCCGGCACAGGTTCCCCATCAACATCCTGCCGAAGGACGACACGCCGCCGTTCCTCATCAACAACGTGGCGGTGGAGGTGCAGGAGGGGGGCGCTGTGAGGCTGCAGGACTACATGCTGCTGGCCTCAGACCTGGACTCCAGTGATGACCACATCCTGTACCAGGTAGTCCTCGCTCCCCAGGCAGGGCAGCTGGTCAGGAGGAGCCCCGCCCACAAGACAGGTGAGGCTTTCTGAGAGATGCCAAGTCAAGAAAAAACACAAAGACAAACACAAGTGATATCTAAGAATGATTGTTGTTAGCAGATGTTGTTCTGCTATAATCACTGATGAACAGGGGGTCATGAACCACCGACCCAAACCCCAAAACACCACCTCCACCACAGGTAGCATCCAGGTGTGTGTTAGCATCCAGGAGTTAGCATCCAGGAGTTAGCATCCAGGTGTGTGTTAGCATCCAGGAGTTAGCATCCAGGAGTTAGCATCCAGGTGTGTGTTAGCATCCAGGTGTTAGCATCCAGGTGTGTGTTAGCATCCAGGTGTTAGCATCCAGGTGTGTGTTAGCATCCAGGTGTTAGCATCCAGGTGTTAGCATCCAGGACTTAGCATCCAGGTGTTAGCATCCAGGTGTGTGTTAGCATCCAGGTGTTAGCATCCAGGGGTGTGTTAGCATCCTGGTGTTAGCATCCAGGTGTGTGTTAGCATCCAGGTGTTAGCATCCAGGAGTTAGCATCCAGGTGTTAGCATCCAGGTGTGTGTTAGCATCCAGGGGTGTGTTAGCATCCAGGGGTGTGTTAGCATCCAGGTGTTAGCGTTTAAGTGTTAGCGTCCAGGTCTGTGTTAGCATCCAAGTGTTAACATCCAGGAGTTAGCATCCAGGTGTTAGCATCCAAGTGTTAGCATCCAGGGGTGTGTTAGCATCCAGGTGTTAGCGTTTAAGTGTTAGCGTCCAGGTCTGTGTTAGCATCCAGGTGTTAACATCCAGGAGTTAGCATCCAAGTGTTAGTATCCAGGTATGTGTTAGCATACAGGTGTGTGTCAGCATCTAGTGTGTGTTAGCATATAGGTGTTAGCATCCAAATGTTAGCATCCAAGTGTTAGCATCCAGGTGTTGGCATCCAGGTGTGTGTTAGCATGCAGGTGTGTGTTAGCATACAGGTGTTAGCATACAGGTGCACAGCTACACAACGCCATGGCATGAAGACATCAGCAATGACCTTAAAGAAACTGTTAATTAATCCATGAAAGGTCAAATGTCATTTTCAACATTTTTTAAGATAAATTCATTCATTCTACAAAAAGAAAAACAACAAGTAAATACATGTAAAACTATATTTAATGGTCCACAGTCTGTAGGACATTAGGAGACATTGTCCTGATGCATCTCAGTAGTCCAGGTAGAAAAATGAAAAAGAAAAATAAGTAAGTCCTCTGATCCAGAGGACTTACTTATTTTTCTTTTTGATTAGGAGAAGTTGTTCTTTCTTGTTGGATGTACACTGATTTACTTACCAACTGGTCAGATGTACCAGTGGACAGCTTCCTGCAGAGAGACCTGATCCAGGGTCAGATCTTCTACCAGCACTCAGGAGATGAGGCGTTTGAGGACTCCTTCGACTTCACGCTGTCTGACAGCCACCAGCCTCCCAATCTCTCACAGACATATGTGAGTTACACTAACTGAGCCCTGAGCAGGAGGAAGTGATGTTTGGTTTGTCTCTGAGACCTCCTGTCCTCCCTGTCCTCAGACGGTGGTGGTCCATGTATTCCCGGTGAAGGACCAACTGCCAGTGGAGGTTCCCGGCTCCGTCCGGTCTCTGACGGTGAAGGAGACTGAGGTGGTTTACATCACACAGAACCAGCTGCACTTCACAGACAGAGAGAATCCAGCAGCTGACCTGACCTTCGTCATCACACAGCCCTGCTTCAGTCCTCTGAATCCTGGGTACAGAACCACACGGGTCCAGAGCAGGTCTGTGAAGGCAGGAGGAGAACCTCTCAACTGAAACTGGCTTTTGTTTTTCTTTCTGCTTCATTTCAGACTGATGGATGCAGGACGTCTGTTCTACACCGACAGTACCAGCTCCATGAAGAAAGATCACATGGTTGCGGTGTTAAAGTCCTTCACTCAGGTGTGAGACCCATCAGAACATCCCGAGTCCCTCACTCAGGTCATCCTGCAGAAAGCAGGTTTCACTACATCCAATTAATGCAACACCTTAGAAGAATTAGGTCATTTTTCTGTCGGTCCTCCCTTCACCATTCTGGTCTTGGTGCTCTCTCTGGTCTTGGTGTTCTCTCTGGTCTTGGTGCTCTCTCTGGTCTTGGTGTTCTCTCTGGTCTTGGTGTTCTCTCTGGTCTTGGTGCTCTCTCTGGTCTTGGTGCTCTCTCTGGTCTTGGTGTTCTCTGGTCTTTGTGCTCTGGTCTTGGTGTTCTCTCTGGTCTTGGTGCTCTCTCTGGTCTTGGTGCTCTCTCTGGTCTTGGTGCTCTCTTTGGTCTTGGTGCTCTCTCTGGTCTTGATGCTCTCTCTGGTCTTGGTGCTCTCTCTGGTCTTGGTGCTCTCTCTGGTCTTGGTGTTCTCTGGTCTTGGTGTTCTCTGGTCTTTGTGCTCTGGTCTTGGTGTTCTCTCTGGTCTTGGTGCTCTCTCTGGTCTTGGTGCTCTCTCTGGTCTTGGTGCTCTCTTTGGTCTTGGTGCTCTCTCTGGTCTTGGTGCTCTCTTTGGTCTTGGTGCTCTCTCTGGTCTTGGTGCTCTCTCTGATCTTGGTGTTCTCTGGTCTTGGTGCTCGCTCTGGTCTGGGTGTTCTCTCTGCTCTCTCTGATCTTGGTGTTCTCTGGTCTTGGTGCTCTCTCTGGTCTGGGTGCTCTCTCTGGTCTGGGTGCTCTCTCTGGTCTTGTTGTTCTCTCTCTGGTCTTGGTGCTCTCTCTGGTCTTGGTGCTCTCTCCGGTCTTGGTGCTCTCTCCGGTCTTGGTGCTCTCTCTGGTCTTGGTGCTCTCTCTGGTCTGGGTGCTCTCTCTGGTCTTGGTGCTCTCTCTGGTCTTGGTGTTCTCTGGTCTGGGTGCTCTCTCTGGTCTTGGTGCTCTCTCTGGTCTGGGTGCTCTCTCTGGTCTTGTTGTTCTCTCTGGTCTTGGTGCTCTCTCTGGTCTTGGTGCTCTCTCTGGTCTTGTTGTTCTCTCTGGTCTGGGTGCTCTCTCTGGTCTTGGTGTTCTCTGGTCTTGGTGCTCTCTCTTGTCTTGGTTGTGACAGTACCCCCATCCTGTTTCCTCGCAGCACGCAGTGACCCACATGAAAGTGGCCTTCATGCCTCCTGTAGAGGATATTGGAGTCCATCCTCTGTTTGTCCAGTTTGTGTTCTCCGTCAGCGACTCCACTGGGGGAACTGTGTCCGGCCTGGTCTTCAACATCACTGTCACCCCCGTGGACAACCAGGCCCCTGAGGTCAGAGGTCAACCTGTGTGAGCTGTTGATCAGTTAGTTCTGTTGGACTGGAACCATCATTTGTGTGCTCCTTAGGCTTTCACCAACCTGCTGCGGGTGGAGGAAGGTGGAGAGGCCTTTGTGACCGAGGAGCATCTCCAGGTTCAGGATCGGGACAGTTCAGAAGAACTGTTGAGGGTAAAGATTCAGACTACTGCTCGTCATGGTCGACTGGAGCTGCAGGGCCGAATTCTGCTACAGGGAGACCAGTTCATGTTGACGGACTTGAGAGGACTGCGGCTCAGGTGAGACCACCTGAATCGGGAGGTTCATTATGTCCTTCACTCTTTCTGTCCCACCAGTTAGACCATTTGTTTTATTCTCATGTCTTCACTGTGTCCTCATGTCCTTTGTTATGTCTTGTGTTGCAGGTACGTCCATGATGACTCAGAGACCACTGAGGATGAGGTGGGCCTGGAGGTACTGGACGGTCTGAACGCTGCTGACGTTGTGCTTCAGATTCAGGTRAGTTGTGGCATCATTGTGACATCATCATAACATCATTGTGATGTCACAGTGACATCATTGTGACATCACTGTAATAACATAACCAATGAGTATTCAGTCAAATCCTTTACAGGTGATGGTCAAACATACAGTACCTCCAAGACATGTTTTTCAAAGGTTTTCAGATGCTGCAGTGTCTGACAGGATCTGTATGATCCTCACCTCAACCAGGAAGCTGCCTGGCTTCGTTACACCCCAAACACAGTCAGTCCAAAGGGACTCCCTGTTCTGAAAAGCTTTGGAGAAGACACAACAATCCTAGAGGATGAGACTAGCAGCCCCTTTATGACCATGAACATTGCAACAAATCACATTTTACATTCATTCATTCATTCATTCATTCATTTTGGTCTTGGTGCTTTCTCTGGTCTGGGTGTTCTCTGGTCTCTGGGTGATGGATGGATGGATGGATGGATGGATGATGATGGATGATGGATGGCGTTGTATAAATAAATTCATTCATTTATACAACGCTTCACAACAACCAACTAAGGTAACCAAAGCATTTTGCAGTAAAAATCACATCACAAGAAAAGAAAACAAAAATGGTATTAAAGCCCGTCTAAAGAAATAAGTCTTGAGTTYATACTTAAAGATGCTGGGTCAGAAGTGGAGCGAAGGTCTAGAAGGAGTTTGTTCCAGAGTCAGGGTCCTGAAACTGAAAAGACCCGGTCACATCAATGCTTTAGCCTTGACCCTGGGATATCCAAYAAAAGGTGATCTGATGACCGCAGGGATCTCCATGTACAGTTAGACTTAAAATTCAGATAAATATGTTGGGGCAGTGCCATTAAGAGCTTTAAAAACAAACAATAACATTTTTAAATCAATTCTAAAACAGACAGGAAGTCAGCGTAAAGAACATAGAACAGGTGACATGCTCACATCTAGAGGTGTTGGATAAAAGACGGGCAGCTGTTCTGGACAAAATCAAGTTGTCTTAGAGAAGACTGAGGGATGCCAATATGCAGTCCATTATCAAGTCTGGAACTAATGAATGCATGATTGGCTTTCTCCAAGTCAGTGCGATGTAAAAAAAACTTTTAAACTTTGGTCAGCAGACTGAGTTTGGATTTCTGTGTTCATCATGGATTGTCCATAGCAAACACCATGTTCAAACATAAAGCTGTCCATATGTGCTCTTGGCACCAGGACACCCTAGGCCACAGCTCGATAATCTACCTTGTTGTTGTTTCATCTGATCTGTGGCTGCATGTGTTGGACACTCGGGTAAGGAATTATATAGAATAGATAGTAAGAATAGATAATTAAAAGATATGTAAATGTGAAATGGTCATTAACATATGTATGTTTATTTTTTGTCTTTCGTCCTGATGCATCTCAGTAATCCAGGTAAAAAATCAAAGGAAAAAAATAGTATAGGTCCTCTGGACGGGTTCTTCTCTAATGAAACGTTTCAT